CGATCCCTCTCGTGGAGCACATGCTCTGGGGGAAAAGGCTTAGGACATCTATCCCGTAAGACACTCAAGCAGCCCCGTGGAGGGGCCCCAAAGTGAATCCTCCGACCCTAACCAAGTCCCACCCGGCTTCAGGGGAGGGAGACCCTGAGCTAGAACGACCCAGCTAAGCGTCTCTCCGTTTCCTGACCCTCAGAGACGGAGAGAATGCAGGTTTGCTGTTTTAAGCCACTAAGGTTCGGGTTATTTTGTTATACAGCAATAGATAACTATTGGGGGATCTCCACGTCTCACCCCCAAAAGCATCCCTCTAACTGTGGCTTCAGTAGCAGGCAGAGCCCCAGACCAGCCCCACTCCTTGGGCCTGGCCCACTGTCACTCAATAACGGGTCTGGAATATCATTCCCCAGCTGGATGCCTCTTCTCAGGCCGCCACCCCTGAGATGCCTCCTCTCATCTCCCCAGCTCAGGCAGCCCCATCTGCTATGGTGTCTTCACAGCACTGAGGTTACCAGGCCTTGTCTCAGCTGCTAGAACACATTCTTTACAATAGATGCTTTGTAATCTTCACATCAGATTACAAGCTCCATGAGGGCAGGGTCCTTGCCTATCTGACACATGTCTGAGTCCCCAGCCTGGCCACCTAGAGGGCGTTCAATAAAAGTTTGCTTCATGATTGGAAATCCCAGCTCGAAGCAAAGAGGGAGACCCCAGCGACAGCACAGCAGCCCAGGAACCCCGGCCCGATTACGAGGTCTGGCTGCTTTCCTGGCACCAAGGAGTAGGGTTGTGGGGGCTGGATCCTGGAAAGAGCGGCAGCCCTCAAGCAGGTGCCTGGGCGCCTTGTCTCCCTAGCTCTTTGCCAACCTCCTGAGTTGTTCTTCTCTGAGAGAGTGCTCAGGGGAGCAGGGTCTCTGTGGGGACAGTGGCTCCCCCTCCAGGGGTCTCTGCCAGCCCCCAACTCCTCCTGCTGTTCTGGGGCAAGGGCCAAGTGCCTGACAAGTTCTCCATCGGCTCACAGACTAAAGTCGGTTCTTTCTGCCATCACTTTTAGATCCTGGCCCAGGCCACGCAATTCATGTCAGGAGTAAATCATTTTGATTTCCACTTCTGGTCCCGAGAAAGCCATCTTATCTTCATCCCTAACACTGCAGGACCCTCCATCCTGCCCGCCCAGCCCAGAGGCCATACCTACTCCAGGAGAGAGGCCCAGCCAATGAGCCACTTCCCTGCACTTTTGAAAGGGGATCCAGCTGGGAAGAATCACAGGATCCTAGGAGGCAGACCCTGAAAGGCAGGGACAGCTGGGTGCCCAGCAGAGCTATTTGGGGCTCAGTAGCAGCAGCTTGGGTTCTCTCCCTTCCCAGGCCCCCGGACTCATACCCACTCCAGGAGCAAGAGGAAGTGGTGTGATTCTTGGGGGGTGTCATCAGTTGTCACAAGCACAAGACCCCACCCCTGCCCTGACCTGCTCCTCTAACCTCTGTTCCTGGCATGAGCAAACTGCTAACAAGTGGCCAGAGGCCAGCGAGAAGGGGAAAAGGGCACCATACCACGTGCCCAGAAAGGCATCAGAGTGCGGGCTTGGGGTGGGGTGGAGGCAGGACAGGCCAGCCCAGGGAGGTCACTCTGTGGGGTTACATGCCCCACCAGGTGGGACGCCAGCCCTGGAGCTGTTCCCTCAGCTCATTCCCGAGCACTTGAGAACCACACTGTGCAAAGTTTGGAGAGTCCGGGCTCATAACCTCCACTTTGCCACCAGCTCCCTGAGTGACCTTGGGGAAACCAGCTGCAGCACTCGGCCTCAGTTTTCCTCCTGCACAGGGGAGGAAGGTGGTAGGTCCTGCACAATCCCTGGGGTGCCCTGTGACCCATTCCAGTGGGATAAGGAAGGTCGCCTTCCTCACGCTGCCCCCTGCATGGACACTTGGACCTGGTCTGGAGTGAATTGTTCTGTGGGGCTGGGAACACACAGGGGGCGGGGGTGGCTGTGAATGGGGAGGAGGGGTCCGTTCCAGGGCAGATGAGGCCTCAACTTCCCCTGGTCTCTCGGGTGGAAGGGGCTGCTCGCTTGATGGGGGCTGCCCAGCCGGGAAGCCCCACGTGAGGCCGCCCTCTCCCTCGCGCCCCCTCGTGCTTACACTTACATTTCGCCTCCTTCCAGTCGGTGGAGGTGCTCAGGTCCACCTTCGCCGCCATGGCCAGGGGGGCCCAAGTGCGCACCCCGGCTGTCCGCCCCACCGCCGCCGCCCCCCACGCCCCAACTCTCGCCGAGGTCCGGGCGCTGCGGCCGAACACGCCCAGGAACGCTGGGGGACAGCACGTGCTGCTGCGGGTCCGCGTGGCACCCGCCAAGTGGCCGGGCCGGGGGCGCGGGGGGACCAGCAGCTGCCCCGCCGCGCGCAGCTGTACCAGGCGGCCGGACAGTCGGCTCTGAAGAGACATGAGCGGGCGGCGCGGGACGGCTCTCCGCCCACTTGGACTCTATTTACGGCGCTCGGGAGTGTCTCTCCCTTATTTACTCTGGGACCGGGTGGCGACTGCCAGCCAGCGGCGACCTGCTCGGAGGCAGCGGGCGGCGCAGCCAGAAAACCCGGGAGCGCCGCTGGGCACCCTGGAACTTGTAGTCCGGGCCGCCGGATGGGCCCTCGCACCCGTATACACACGTGCGCGCCCGCCCGGGCTCCCAGTGTCGCGGGTGGAGCCACGCCCGAGCCCCTCCCACTTCTCCAGTGGCCTCCAGGTGCCTCCACTCCGCATGGCCTCGGCCGCCTCTAGCTTTCTGGTTGGCTGCGCCTCGGCTTTCCCCGCACGGGCTGCCCACACGGGCTGAAGCCCCCGGACCTTCCACGCAGCCCCGGACCCCTCTGCCGCTCTGCTCCGCAGGGAAGCAGGCGCTCCGGCCGCTGCGTACCGAGCTGGGAGAGCCTGGCGCGGCTTCCGCGGTGCCGAGCGTTTTGCAGCCTGGGCGACCCGGGCTTGTCTCCCCAAGGGTCAGCAGGGCACCGCCTCCACACCCCAGCCCGCCCTCCTAGGGACAGTTGCGACGATCGGGTAAATCCGGTTTGGGGACTTCTCCCCAGAGCCTCTGCCTCCTAACAGCCCCGGGGCCAAGGCTCAGCTGGAGCAGAATCTAGGACAGCTGGGTGGAAATAGTGGAATTTGGAGGCAGGAAACTTGGGCTTCAAGTGGCGTTCAAGGGTGGAAGGATTGGGGTGATGTTTTCTTTTTACAAAAACCGGCTGGGCGCGGTGGCTTATCCCAGCACTTTGGGGAGGCTGAGGCGGGTGGATCACGAGGTCAGGAGTTCAAGGACAGCCTGGCCAACATGGCGAAACGCCATCTCTACTAAAAATACAAAAATTATCCAGGTGTGGTGGTGCATGCCTGTAATTCCAGCTACTCGGGAGGCTAAGGCAGGAGAATCACCTGAACTCGGAAGGTGGAGGTTGTGGTAAGCCAAGATGGCACCATTGCACTCCAGCCTGGGTGACAGAATGAGACTCTGTCTCAAAAAAAAAAAACACGAGGATGGATTTTTAAGTACTTTTATATATTTTTATGTACTATTAATATTACTTTATGATAAATATAATGGATACAGCCTGGGCTATTATGATGAATCTAATAATGAATAATGAATAGGTGCCTCACACCTGTAATCCCAGCACTTTGGGAGGCTGAGGCAAGAGGATTATCAGAGGCCAGGAGTTCAAGACCAGCCTGGGCAATACAGTGAGACCCCCTCATCTCTACCTGCCCCCACACAAAAAAATTACCCTGGTATGGTTGTAGACACTCACCTCTAGTCCCAGCTACTCTGGAGGCTGTGGCAGGCAAACACTTGAGCCCAAGGATTCAAGGCTGCAGAGAGCTATGATGGCACCACTGCACTACAGCCTGGACAACACAGTGAGACCCTATCTCAAAAGTAATAATAATAATATATTTTAATACCAGGGAGGAACGAGCCAGGGTTTCGGAGGAGGTTCTAGTACTAGTGTTGCTACCCTGGGGTACCCTAGCCTCTTGAGACTCAAGCTTCTTGAGCTGTCAGCTAGGAATAAGAGAGTCTGGCTGGTTGCAAACCTGCTCCTGTGCTCCAGGCCTCTGGCTCTGAGTGTGGCAATAACCCTGGATGGCCGTAGGAGGATCCCTGACCTGCCATGGATGCAGATGGAACCACTGGGATGGTAACATGGGCTCAGCCTTGGACTTCAGGCATTAAATCCGCCCAAGACAGGATCAGCATAGACTTGCCAGCACCTGGGTAGGCAGTCGTCAGTCCTGGGAGTGAGGGCAAAGGGGAAGCCAGAGGCCAGGAAGGAAGAGCCCACGGCCTCCAGCATTCCAGGACCACCAGCAAGGCCTGCACCCTCTCCTGAAAACATTAGCAAGACATGGTTCAGGATGTGAAGGGGTGGCCTGCCCCTCCACACCTGTGGGTGTTTCTCGTTAGGTGGAACGAGAGACTTGAGAAAAGAAATGAGACACAGAGACAAAGTATAGAGAAAGAAAAAGTGGGCCCAGGGGACCTGCGCTCAGCTTACAGAGGACCCACGCCGGCACTGGTCTCTGAGTTCCCTTAGTATTTATTGATAATTATCTTTACCATCTTAAAGATAAGGGAGTGGCAGGACAATAGGATCATTGTAGGGAGGAAATCGGCAGTAAGACATATGAACAAAAATCTCTGTGACATGAATAAGTTTAAAGGAAAATGCTGTGCCTTGAGATGCATATGCAAACATCTCCATAAACCTTTTAGCAGCATTGTTTCAGCCTATCACATGGGGAGAAACCTTTGGACAATACCTAGCTTTCCTAGGCAGAGGTCCCTGCGACCTTTGGCCATGTACCTGTCCCTGGGTAGTTGAAATTAAGAGAATGGTGATGACTTTTAACCAGCAAGCTGCCTTCAGGCACTTGTTTAACAAAGACACATCCTGCACAGCCCAAAATCTATTAAACCTTGAGTCACCGCAGCACATGTCTCTTGCAAGGACAAGGTTGGGGGTAGGGTCACAGATTAACAGCATCTCAAATACAGAACAATATGGAGTCTCTTATGTCTACTTCTTTCTATATAGACACAGTAACAGGCTGATCTCTCTTTCTTTTCACCACAAGGATATAGGAGTCAGGCTCTAGGTCACCTCACCAGTTGTGGCCCCTCCAGTAACTCAGAGTAAAAGAAGGACCTTGCTGACTGCAACCAGGACAGCCGACAACTACATGCACGAAGTCCCAGCTATACTGAGCTAAGCCCTCTATGTCCATTCCCACTACCTCTATTAGCCCATTATATCTTCAGCTCTCACCACCTCCAGGCAGAGAGATGACTGGCCCAAGGTCAGAACAGTCAGGATCCCAGCCCCGACTTGGGTCCAGGTCTGTTTGGTTCCCATCTGTGGTCTGGAAAGTGGTTATGCAGATGTCACTGATTGGTGAAATGTGGCGTGTGGGTGTTGCAGTATATTACTTCTCTATTGCTGCTGTACCATTACCGCAAATTCACTGGCTTCAATGACACACATGTAGTATCTTAAAGTTCTTCAGAACAGAAGTATGATGTGGGTATCACTGGGCTAAAATCAAGGGGAACATGGGGCCATGTTCCTTTCTGGAAGCCCTAGCAGAGAGCCTGTATCATTGCCTTTTCTGATTCCCAGAGACTACTCACATTCCTTGACTTGAGACCTCTTCCTCCATGTTCAAAGCCAGCGCGGTTGCATCTGAGCATTCTTCTGTAGTGGCATTTCCCTCTGATACTCTCCTTCTGCCTTTCTCTTCCATCTTCAGGGACCCTTGTGATTACATGGAGCCCACCTAGATAATCGGTGTCAATTTCTCTACTTAGCTGATTTGCAACCTTCATTCCCCTTTGCCATGAAATGTAACATATTTACAGGCTCTAGGATTTAGGATATGGAATCTTTAGAGAGCCATTATTCTGCCCTGTGCAACCTTCCTGGAAATGTCTAGAGAGGATGATGAGGTAGAGGCAGGGGCCCCAGTCATAAGAAAGTCTTGGTGCTCAGGCCGGGTGCAGTGGCTCACGCCTGTAATCCCAGCACTTTAGGAGGCTGAGGCGGGTAGAACAACTGAAGTCAGGAGTTTGAGACCAGCCTGGCCAACAAAGCCAAACCCTGTCTCTACTAAAAATACAAAACAAAACAAAAAAAATTAGTTGGGCATGATGGCACGCATCTGTAGTCCCAGCTACTCAGGAGGCTGAGGCAGGAGAATTGCTTGAACCTGAGAGGCAGAGGTTGCAGTGAGCTGAGATCGTGCCACTGCACTCCAGCCTGGGTGACAGAGTGAGACTCCCTCTCAAAAAAAAAAAAATAAGGCAGGTGTAGTGGGTCACACCTGCAGTTCCAATTACTTAGGAAACTGAAACAAGAAGATCACTCGAGGCCAGGAGCTGGAGGTCAGCCTGGGCAACATAGTGAGACCTTGTCTCTAAATATAAATAAATAAATAACATGTACTTATTTATTTATTTATTTAGAGAGGGAGTCTGGCTCTGTCACCCAGGCTGGAGTGCAGTGGCATGATCTCGGCTCACTGCAACCTCTTTCCCCCAGGTTCAAGGAGCAGCCTCCCAAGTATCTGGGATTACAGGCATGTGCCACCATGCCCCGCTAATTTTTATATTTTTAGTAGAGAAGGTTTTACTATATTGGTCACACTGGTCTCGAGCTCCTGACCTCAGATGATTCACCCACCTCGGCCTCCCAAAGTGCTGGGATTACAGGCGTGAGCCACCGTGCCCAGCCAACAAACATGTATTTTAAAAAAACATTTATATCATGTTATTCACCTGCTCAGACCTCTCCAAAACCCGTGTCCTATACTGCCAGGCTACTGAAGCACCCTGGACACCCACTGTGTACCAGTGCTACTGTTTCTTTTTCCTGGGATTCAGCTCTGTGATAGTGAAGGTCCCGGCTAACACCTCTCCGTGGTCTACTGGAGGCTTGGGTCACATGCACAAGTGGTCGTGGGCAGGCAGCAGGATTCTGAACATTGGTGAGGGAGGATATCTTCATAGAATTTGAGCTGGATCTTTTGGAAAAAGTAAAGTTTTGCCAGGTATGGAAGGTGTGTATGTGTTGGGGGCGTTCCAGGCAGAGGGACCCATAGAAGCAGAAGTGTGGAAGTCTGTGGAATGCTGAATCTTCCACTGGGGCTGTGGCACAGGGCATTGTCAGCTGAGGATTTTTAATGTTGGAGAGGGGGTTTTATGCAAAGAAAAGCTACCTACTGCTGCTTGTGTTTAAATTAATACTGTATTTATTAAACATATAAATTTTAAAAACTAGTTTTTCTTAAACATCCAAGAGCAATTCATAAATCTAGTTTTCTATGTATAAGCCTACTAATTATTTTTATAAAAGAACAATTATGTTCACTTTGATAAATATTTAATTAACTCATAAGTTCAACAGATTAAATTCTTCTAAAAATGAATGCCAATTACAAACTTAGGTAATTAAATCCTCTAATAGATTTTAAACTATATTTTACAGAGTTAAAGTAGCTGATCCTCTCAAACACCTCAAATTCCCAACAGAAGAGACTTACAAGGTTGTTGTTGTTTTTTTTTCTTATCATTTAAGCACCTCTTTTTGTTTTTCCTTTTTTCAGAGACAGCGTCTACAGGGTCTGGAGCAATCATGGCTTACCGCAGCTTTGACCTCCTGGGCTCAAGCGATCCTCCACCCTCAGCCTCCCGAGCAGCTAGGACTATAGGTGTGTGTCACCACACCCAGTTAATTTTTCTTTTTTTTTTTTTTAGAGATGGGGTCTCACTGTGTTGCCCAGGCTGGTCTCAAACTCCTGGGCTCAAGCATTCTTCCTGCTTCAGCCTTCCAAGGTGTTAGGGTTACAGGTATGAGTCACTGTGCCCAGCCAAGCAACTCTTATATACTAATAAACTTATAAATGTGGCAAATCAGTTATCTTAAATATTCAATACTGTTTCTGAACTTAAATCCTCTTAGACTGTCACAGTTATCTACTGCTTTGTAATGAGTCACTGAAAATTTACTGGCTTAAAATAACAGCAGTTCTAAGTCAGCAGTTTGGGTTAAGCTGGCCGGTTCATCTG